TGCATTACATGTGGACAAGGTGGTTAAGAAGGTGTTTAGTCTGCTTAGCTTCATTGCTCAGACGTTTGAGAGGAGTTGGGATGTTATGTTGAGCTTGTACAGAACGTCAGTGAGGCGCCTTCTGGGGTAATGTGTCCACTTCTGATCGCCTGTTATATGAAGGATATCATTAAGCTGGAAAGGGTTCAGAAAAGATTTACCAGGAATGGAGGTTGAGTTATAAGGACTCGCTGGATAGGTTGAGACTTTTTTCACTGAAGTCCAGAAATTGGAGGGGTGACTTACAGACATTTATATAATCATGAAGGGTATAGATAAGGTGAATGGCAGGTGCCTTTTCTCTCGGGTGAGGGATTTCAAGACAAGGGGGCACATTTTTAAGGTGAGAGGACGAAGATTTAAAAAAGACTCGAGGCAATTTTTTTTTTTTTTTAAAAACACAGAAGTGGTTCATGTTTGTAATGAACTTCCTGAGGAAGTAGGGAATGTGGGCAAAATAACAACATTTAAAAGACATCTGGATAAGTAAATGACTCGGAATCGTTTGGAGGGATATGGGCCAGGAGCAGGCAGGTGGGGCAAGTTTAACTTGGAATTATGCTTGGCATGGACTGGTCGGACCAAAGGTAGGGCTGGTATGATTAGAGAACAATGGATTAATAAAGATATTGAGGCGCTCGTCAAGAATGAAAAAGAACCATATTAGACATAGACAACTAGGTTCAAATGAACTTCTTGAATAGTATAAAAAGTGTAGAGGATTTCTTAAGATGGAGATCAGAAAGGCAGAGAGGGCATGAGGTAACTTTATCTGCCAAGGCTAAGGATAATCCAAAGAGATTCAACAAGTACATATCGAGCAAGAGAGCAACTAGAGAGAGTTGGGCACCTTAATGATCAAGGAGGATGTCTTTGTGTTGAAACTCGGCAGATGGGAGAGATATAAAATAACTATTTCACATCAGTTTTGACTGTGGAGAAAGCTAGCCCAAACATTCACTCTCCATGTATGAAACTGGACAGTTCCTGTTGCTAAACTATTTGACCAAGGGCCAAAGAAATGGAAACTAGGTGATGCTTCTTGCGGCTGGATTGACGTTCTACTCTGTGTGGCTACATGCTACACTTACAACATACATGTCACCAGGACTGGAGGGTTTGAGTTATGAGGAGAGACTGGATAGGCTGGGACTTTTTGCACTCTAACATAGGAGGTTGAGGGGTGACTCTGTAGAGGTTTGAAAATTGAGGGGTAAACGACAAAGGTGAGCAGCAACGGTCTTTTCTCTTGGATAGAGTTTTCCAAAACTAGAGAGTACATTCTTAAGGAGGAGATTGATTTAAAGGGAAATAATAGGCAACATTTTCAGACAGAGAATAGTTTTTATATGGAATGAACCTCCAGAGGAAGTGGTAGATGCAGGTACACTTACACGATTTAAAAGACATTTGGATAGGTACATGAATAGGAAAGGTTTAGAGAGGTATGGATCAAATGCAAGTGGGACTAGTTCAATTTGAGAAACCTGGTCGACATGGACAAGTTGGACTGAAGGAGGCTAGAGAACTCAAGGAAATAAATATTGATGTTTTGAACAGTTTGCTTTGCAGGAGAGGAGGTGCTGAAGGTCTTAGAAAATATAAAAAGTGGATAATTCTCTGGTACCTGATCTAGTGTATCCCAGGGCATTGTGGAAAGTAAGGGAGGAAATTGCAGGGCTCCTCGCGGAAATATTTGTATCATCTATAAATATGGGTGAGGTGCCAGGTGACTGGAGAGTGGCTAAAGTTTTGCCTTTGTTTAAGAAGGGATGTAGGGAGAAGCCTAGGAATTATAGACCAACAAGTCTGACTTTGGCTGTGGGTAAGCCGTTGGAGGTGATACTGAAAGATAGCATTTGCGGAGGCAAGGAATGATTAGGGATAGTCAGCATGGTTTTGTGTGAGGGAAATCATGTCTCACAAATTTGATTGAGTTTTTTTGATGAAGGAACCAAGACCGATGAGCGCAGAGCAGTAGACATTGTTTACTTGGACTTTAGTAAAGCCCTTGACAAAATTCCGCATAGTAGACAAATTTGTAAAGTTAGCTCACATGGGATTCATAGTGAGCTTGCCAATTGGTTATTTAATTCACTTAATGACATCAGACAGGGTGTGGTGGTGTAAGGATGTTATTCAACTGGAGACCTGTGACCAGCAGTGTTCCACAGAGATCGGTGATGGGTCCACTTGTGTTTGTCATTTATATCAATGATATAGATGAGAATATAGAAGGCATGGTTAGTAAGTTTGTTGATGACACCAAATGTTATGGTTTCGTGGACAGGTTATCTACGATTACAAAGAGATGTTGATCAATTGGGTTTATGGGCTGACAAATGACAGATGGAGTGCAAGCTATTGCATTTTACGGCAGCATGGTGGCTCAGCGATTAGCACTGCTGCCTCACAGAGCCACAGATCTGGGTTCGATTCCAGCCTCGGGCAACTGTCTGTGTACAATTTGCGCATTCTACCTGTGTCTCCATGTGTTTCCTCCCACGGTTCAAAGATGTGCAGGTTGGATGGATTAGCCCGCTAAATCATCCGTAGTATTCTGAGATGTATAGGTTATGTGGACTAGCCATGGGAAATGCAGGGTTATAGGGACAGAGCAGGTGTGAGAGTCTGGTGGATAACAAGGTGTAGGGCTGGATGAACACAGCAGGCCAAGCAGCATTAGAGGGGCAGGAAAGCTGACGTTTCGGGTCTGGACCCTTCTTCAGAAAATGAGAGTCTGGTGGGATGCTTTTCAGAGAGTTAGTGTGGACTTGTTAGGTCGAATGGCCTGTTTCCACACTATCGGGATTCTAATTCTAAGCAAAGGGAGGGCAGGACTTACACAGCCTTGGATAATGCTGTAGAACAGAGACACTTTGGGTTTCAGTTACCTAATTCTTTGAAGTTTTCATTACACGTACACATAAACATAGGCTCAGACCTTTCAGTACAGGAGTTGGGGCATCTTGTTGAAGTTGTACAAGATGCTGGTGAGGCTTCATCTAGAGTACTGTGTCCAGTTCTGGTCACCCTGTTAAAGGAAGGATATTAGTAAGCTGGAGAGGGTTCAGAAGAGATTTACCAGGATGTTGCTGGGAAAAGAGAAATTGAGTTATGCGGAGAGGCGGAATAGGCTCAGACTTCTTTCTCAGGGCACAAGAGGTTGAGGTTGAACTTGGAGGTTTATAAAAATCCTGAGGGGTGTCAAATGGCAAGTGTCCTTTCTCTTAGGTGGGGATTTCAAGACTAGGGGGCATGTTTAAAATCAAACTGAATTAGCTTTATTGTCATACATACTCACAAGTATAGTGAAAAGTTTACAAGTTGCCACTTACAGCACCATGTTAAGTGGAAAGGTACTCAGGTATAACACTATCCAGGGCCCTACCGTTAACTGTACAAGTCCTGCCCTTAAGGGGTAGTGATAAGGTGAATACAGGTATCTTTTCCACGGGGTGGGAGATTTCAAAACTAGAGGGCATACTTTTTTTTAAGGCGAGAGGAGAAAAACAAAGACATGAAGGGCAACTTTTTGTTACACAGAGAGTGGCTCCTGTGCGGATGCGGATACAATTACAATTTTTAAAAGACGTTTGGATAAGTACACGAATAAAAAGTGTTTACAGGGATATGTGCTAAGCGCAGGCAGGTGGGACTAGTTTAGTTTCAGCACATGGTCGGCATGGACTAGTTTCCATGCTGTATGACTATGACTATATGAACTTACAGAATACTGAGAGGCCTAGACAGATGGATGTGGAGAAAATGTTACAACTAGTAGGAGAGACGAGAACCCAAGGGCACCGCCTCACAGTAAAGGGACAACCCTTTAGAACTGAGATGAGGAGGGGTTTCTTCAGCCAGAGACTGGTGATTTTTTAGAGCTCACTGCCGTAGAGGGCTGCGGAGCGTATTTATGACAGAGATAGATAGGTTCTTCGTTTGTGAGGGGATCAAAGGTACGGAAGAAAGCAGAAGGCAAGAGAATGGAGCTGAGAAACATGTCAGCCGTGATCAAATGGTGGAACAGAAACAATGGGCCGAATGGCCTAATTCTGCCCCTGTATCTTGGTTATTGTGGGGGACTTCAATCTGCACATAGATTGAGCAAGTCAACTCAGTAACAATACCATAGAGGAGAAATTCCAAAAAACCATCTCATACACATTCTAGGATCAATACATCGAGGGCCCAAATGGAGATAGGCCATCTCGACTGCATATTGTGTAATGACTGGGAGTGGGTTAGCTCAGTTAACTGGATGGCTGATTTGCGATTCAGAGTGATGCATGTACTCAATTCACATACTGCCCAAGGTCACCGTGAAGATCCCACATTCTTAACCTTGCCTGCCTGAGGCACGTTGACCCTCACGTTAAAGCACATTAGCCTTCTCTCTCTCGGTCCCCAAGTGACAGAGCAGTCCTAAGGTCTTCTGAGACTGTGGCAACTTTAATTTCAAAATATTAACTGTGTAATGTGAAGGGAATCATTAGCAATCTAGCCGTGCGAGGCCGCTTGTGGGAGAAAGAAGAACTCAGTGATAAAACGCCTCATTAAGATGGAATGCGACAGAGTTGATTCTGAGACTGGGGGCCAAAATCTAAACAGAGGAAATTACGATGGTATGAGAAGTGATCATGCTACAATAAATTAGGGAATATAACTTTAAAGGAATAACAAACATTTAAAGAGCACTTGGAGGAACTACAACTGTTGTTCTTTCCTGTCAGACACAAAATGAAACAGGAAAGGTGGCCCTGCCATGGCTAACCAGGGACATTAGGGGTCGTACTGGATCCAAGGAAGAGGGGTACAAATTGGCTAAAATGGACAGCAGATCTGAAGACTGGGAGCAGTTCATATTTCACCAAAACAGGACGAAGGGATTGGTTAAGAGGGGAAAAATAAAGAGTAAGAGTAAGTTTCTGGGGTATATACACACAAATTGTACAAGTTCCTAAAGATATAATGAAGAGAAAAACAGATTAATGAAAACAAATCCCTTACAATCAGAAATAGGGGTAATTATAATGTGGAATAAAGAGATGGCAGACCAATTAACTACATATTTTGGTTCTGTCATCACAAAGGATTACACCAATAATATCGCTAAAATGCTGGGGAACATATCGGAAGCAGGAACTGAAGGAAATTAGAGTGAGTAGGAAAATGGTGTTGGGGGAATTGATGGGATTAAAAGCCAACAAATCCCAGCTCCTAGTAATCTACAGCCAGAGTACTTAAACTGGCTTGAGAGATAACAAAAACAAATTGCTGGAAAAGCTCAGCAGGTCTAGCAGCATCTGGGAAGGAAAAAAACAGTTACTGTTTCGAACCGAAACGTTAACTCTGTTTTTACCTTCACAGATGCTACCAGACCTGCTGAGCTTTTCCAGCAACTTTGTTTTTGATCCTGATTTACAGCATCCGCAGTTCTTTCGGTTTTTATTTGGCCTGAGAAACCAATGTATTCTGAAAATAGGGGCTCGAGTCGAAATAGAGGAAATTGATGGTCATCTTTCAAGATGAACAATTCCTATGGATTGGAGGGTAGCTAAGGTAATGCTACTAGTTAAAAAAGAAGGTTGACAGAAAATATGGAATTATCGACCGGTTAGCCTAACACTGGAAAACTGTGACAGGATTGGACAGAGTTTGTCAGCATGGATTTACAAGAGGGAAATCATGCTGTACAAATCTGCTGGTATGTTTCAAGAATGCAACATTTAGAGTTGATAAGGAGGCAGTGGATGTCATTTACTTGGGATTTGAGAAGA